CCAAGAAAAAAAAATGTCATACGTTGCAGCTCATCAGTCCTTAAATGTAGTGGCTGCATTCTTTCTTTTTTTTTTTCCTTTATTTAAACTCCAGTGATCCTGCTAGTAACACACTTCCTATTCTATATCTGTAGGGGATCATCATTGTCACTCTAAGACGGGAAGTGCATTAGAAAAATAAAGGGGAGGGCTTCTGTAGTCCCAACACTCTTCTTGATAACATTGTTTGAGATAACATTGCATAGTACACAGGACAGCGCTGGATTTCTAGGAGGATCAAATATTTTTTGAACTTGAACTGACAAAAGCTTTCCATGATATATTTAACAGACACAAAGGGAGTTAATTAGAGAAGTTCATTGTTTGGGTTTGCCTCTACTTTAAGGAAACTTGGCACTTAGTACAGGATATTGTAGTTTAACACATTGTCTCCAGCGTGCGACTGAAGACTTCCTGGGAAGGCGTGACCACGGATGTACGGTAGGTTACAGTCAGTAGTGTACTCTTATCAGTTTCTAATACTTAAAGGAGAACTATGAGGTGAGTGCTTTTCACTCACCTCATAGTTCTAGCCGACCTGTGACAATGAGACTGTCACAGGTCGGCTCAGTAGATCGGGAGGTGAGCGAACACATACTTGCGTTCGCTCACCTCTCGATCCTGTCACCGCTCTCTGCCGTGACAGGGGAGGGGCTGGATTCCCCCCTCCCCGCTCCGATCCGCCAGCGCTAGCTGGCGGATCGGATGGGGGAGGGGGCGGGTACAGCTGGCTCTGCCTCTAGGTAGGCAGAGCCAGCTGTCACTCACGCAGCTTTGCGGATCCAGACATAATTGTCGGGATCCGCTTCAGCTGCGGCGTCTCAGTATACCGCGAGCTGCAGCTCGCGGTATGCTGAGCTTAGGGTGACGGGAGGACGCTAGTTTGTGTCCTATTACCCTAAGGAGAACTGTGGGGAAAAGCCCTAACCCCATAGTTCTCCTTTTAAAGAATGTCTAATGGTACACAACAGTCCAAATGTCACTGGCATCAATATCTCTGGTCTAGAAGCTCATTTCTGAATTCAGTGAGTCACTTAAAATTATCGTGTTTTGGGCCTAACTATGTCAGTGTTGAGTGAATGAGACAGAATGGCAGCGTCTGCCTGTGGCCTTTACCTGCACAAATATTTTGCTATATGACAGGTTCATTTTAACTCGTGTAGTGTTATGCAGGAGGACCGGTCCAAGTGATTTTTCCATAGACATTTGTGCGTAATTCACTTGTATTTGTAACAAGGCAAGCTAAGGAATCTTTAGCTGAATGTGTGCTGTGGATGGTGCAGTGTGGTTTGGCGATAACAATGGTCTGCGGTGGAGTAGGAAGCCGTATGGGCCGAGACCTCCTTCCTGTTGCGTCTTAACAATTTTCTGCGTCCTCCTCACTTTCCACGAAATGTCGTCTCTGATAATCCTGATCACTGTGCATCTTCAGAGGTACAACCAGCAGACGTACGTTATGTTCACCTTAACCTGCACCCGCTGGTGTGAATGAGCCTTTGGGGTGTTTGAGAATGAATCACTTCGTATTTAAAGCCGTTTGAGAGGTCAGGGAAGACTTTTTTACTGCATGTTAATCATACGTAAATAATTAATGTCCATAGTCTGGGCACAGGTCTCTTTTAAATTAAAATTGCGCAGGTTTTCCTGTGCATTTTGCCGCCATTATTAGCTTTACTTACTTTTGTTTATGGAGCATTGTGGAGCCGAGAGTCTGAGCCGAGATACCTCTGAGATCTGACAGTCGCTCATAACGCTCACCGTCTCCCAGCTCCCAAGTGAGCATGATGGTAACAAATACAGAACCTCGTGTGTTGTTATTTTTTTATTGCTTTCCTTTTACCCACAGAGCTGGGTGTTTGATATTATGTATGCTCAGGGGCTGTGTTATGACCATGAGGTGAAGAAGTTGATTGGGCAGCAACAAGATGCTTCTTAGCCCTGAGCTTTAATCATGTAGGACTGATCATTCAAATGCCTGCATAAGATCAGGTGTGGTTCTCTATTAAGAAAGCTTCTAGGTGAAGCATTTGATCAGGAAACTGCTAATACTATACAAAAATATTGCAACTATGCGAATGTCAGAATATCCACTCAGTTTACTGTTACTTGAGCCCCCAACGTGTCCTTGTGACCAGATTTATCACTTTATTAAGAGGACTTCTAGGTAGGGCTGCACCGACAATTTACACATCGCTTTATATACTGCACATCCCCATCAGTTCGCGTCCTCAAGGAGCTTACACTCTAAGGTCTCTATCTCACATGCATACATACAGCCACAATTTAGACAGGAGACAATCAACTTTCCAGCACATCTTTTGGAGTGTGGGAGGAAACCGGAGTACCCGGAGGAAACCCACACAAGCCGAGTGAGAACATGCAAACTCCTTGCAGATGGTGTCCAGACTGGGATTCAAACTGGTAACCCCCAGTGCTGCTCTGATCATGCTTGAAAAGTGAATTACCTAACCTGTACTAGTAGATGGTTTATGACAGGTGCTGAAGGGCAGGGCTCTGAGGTGACATTATCCAGGGAGCCTCATTGTAACAACGCAGGTATAGGGGTACATCTTTGAAGCAAGGACATAGAGGGGAATTTATCAAAACGGGCAGACATAATCTGGAGCAGATTTGCACTGCCACCAATCAGCTTCTCTGTCTCATTTTCAAATCCTATCCGAGCAACTGAAGAGAGAAGCTGACTGGTGGCAGTGCAAATCTGCTCCAGATTTTGTCTGCTCCAGTTTTGATAAATTCCCCCCAATAGTTCTTCCAGCGTCATCTGGAATCTGAAGAGCAGCAAATATATTTTGTTGCCTGAGAAGGGGCTTAGCTGGCCATACACCTTTTACTATTTATTACATGTATTTATATAGCACTGATTTACACAGTTCTTTACATACTACACATTCACATCAGTGAGCTTACAATATAAGATCCCTATTGCACATGCTTACAAGACCAATTTACGCAGGAGCTAATTAACCTCCCATCATGCTCTTTGGAGTGTGGGAAGAAACCGGAGTACTTGGAGGAAACCCACACAAGCACATGGAGAACATGCAAACTCCTAGCAGATAGTCCTTACCGGTATACAAACCGGGGACCCCCAGTGCTGCAAGGCAGAAGTGCTAACCACCAAGCCACTGTGAGCTTTTTCTCACTTAGCCCTGTGGGCTGACCAGAAGTTACCCGATTCCCCCCCCCCAAAAAAAAAACCTAGGAAGTTTACTAATTCTTTACTGCGCATGTGTTCAAATTCAACATCTTAGAAACGTATGCACAGCAGTTTCATTCCGCCAGGACTATTTCAGCAGCCGCAAGACACATTATGAAGCGACGAATCATGGAGCTGCAACGAAAGCGGTTGTCCTCATTTATCATTTTCTGGACACTGGCCGCGTTTTCTGGAGTGACTGCCGTAGCGTGCCTTCCAGTATGTATGTCGTCCGGTAGCAAACTACGGCCGCTTCTAAATAAAGAGTGTAACCTCTGCATACGGTGTTCTTTGTCCCAGCCAACTTGAAAATCATAGCGCGGTAGTGCTCTCGTTGCAGCTCCATGACTCGTCACTTCCTAATGGGTCTTGCGGCTGCTGGAATAGCCCTGGCGGAATGAAACTGCTGCGCATAAGTTTCTTAAGAAGTTGAATTTTAAGTCATGCACAGTAAAGAATTTGTAAACTACCTATGTTTTGAAAATCTCAAAAATATCAGCCTCGTATTATATTGTTTTCAGACCACCGGGGACCGTGTCTATCAGAACCTGGCAACAGGGACTGCATCTGACTGGCTGCAGTCACTTTTCAGACACCAATTTTTTTTTATTTTTTTCCACCCGGTTCCTGCAATAAAACTTGATTAAAAAAATCTGTGCATGATGAACCATAGAGATGCTATCAGTTTGGGGTGCCCACTCACCAGCATGCAGGAATAATGTAAACAATAAAGACGGGGTGGAGGTGCAGTGTTAAAAGAGAAGAAAAAACAACTGGATTCTGCAGGATGTTAAATATTTATCTGTTAAGTATACAGTATATACCAAGAATGCCAGGAATGGATGAATAAATCTGTAGGGGAGGTGCCTAACCCCATGAATTTTGTTGGAAACATGCTTTATAAAACCATTCACTATGTGGCCAAACGTTTGTTGACATCGGTGTGAACTTTTGGACATCTCATGCCAAAATCATGGTTGTGGCTTTAACAACCTCCATCATTCTGGGAAGGCTTTCCCCCAGATTGTGGAGTGTGTCTGTGGGAATCTGTGCTCATGAGTTCAGGTATGAACGTTGGATGAGAAGGCCATTGGAGTTCTTCAGCATCAGACGCCTCAATCCATATCTTTATGGGCCTGACTTTGTGCACAAGGCACTGCCATGCAGGAACAGAGCAGGCCCTTCCCAGAATGTTACCACAAGGTTAGAGGCGCATAATTAAAATGTATTTTCAACATTATCAATACCCTTCAGTGGAAACACCTGAACTCAGTAATTTGGAGGGGTGTCCACATACATTTGGCCTTATAGCAGATATGATGATCAGGTGTTCTCAATCTCTATGCCATATAATGTGTTTTATTGACATTTTCATATATACTGTAGGAAAGAAAATTGCAATATTATCACATAATCATTTTGTGTCATCGGCTCACTGGATCTTCTAACGTATATCTACTTTTTGGAGGCTGTGTTATGTGTCTGATACCTGTGACATGATTTCTCATTCCCAGAGCCAGCAGTTCAGCAGATTTTGTGAAATATCTGGAAACTGGATACTTTGCATGAATAATCTAGCATCCATCGTTATTGCAGTATTATAAATGTTAACCATTCCTCAGACATTATGTTGGAGTTTCTTTTTTCTCCGTGTCTTGCTTCTGTTGCTTTTTTTCTAACTTTCATTTGTTGTTTCCTTCCTCTGCTATCAGTAGAATTATTGTCTTCCTGTCTCCATATTCAGGTAGTGTCAGTGGCTGAGTACCACCGCAGGATCGATGCCCTAAATACTGAAGAACTGCGCACTCTCTGCAGACGTCTCAAGGTGCCCTCTTCAGTAGTTACCCCATTTTCAGGAAAGCCGCCTCTTGCGTTATAGTGTCCTTTAGTGAGACTTAGAAAAGCTGCTGCGAGATGGCATAAGCTTTATCGGGTCACTAAACCTTGGCTATAACTCCTAAATATGTATATATAGATGTAAAAAGTTTGTTCTTGGAAACAACAATTTCAAATATTTAAAGCATAACTTCAGACCAATGGCCTAATACACAGGTAAAATCTGTATATGGGAACGGTTTTACTGTCCAAAGAGTTTCTAATTGTGTTCAGTTAGTCTTGTGATTATCACATCTCACTGCACAACCAGACAGGTGACACCTTTTGTTCCCTGGTTCAGCTTCTTTTCTTCTCCAGCCTGCTTAGCGAATAATTAGTTTGCATCTTCACACTGCTTATTCATTGTCTACAGACTGAGGATACAAGAAGCTGAAACGCATAATCAGGAAATAGTGTGCAAAGACTAGCTAAACAGAATGGCAGGTAAATCGGAGGAGATTTATGTATTTCAGCCATTGATTAAGCAGCTCGACAGTCGGGTAAAAAAAAAAAAAGCCGCCACTAACTACTAGGAGTATAATATAGCCATGTATTTTCTCTAAATATAACCCTTCTGTGAAATATACTTTAAGCCTGAATTGGACTAAAAGCTAAGGGACAGTAACCCAGATCAGATTTGACCTTACTTGTTCCAGTCAGCCTCCTGATGCATCACGATTCACGCACATCACTGGAATGTTCCTAGGTGGTGGGGTTTTGGGTTTACGAGGTCGGCTTATTTGCATGTCAGCCCTCCTAGCTTTAAAAATTGAAACCAAACCGGTAAAGATCCCTCTGCCAGTATCCTGGCTGTAATGCTAACTTGTGACTTTCACTGCTTACAGTGACACTAAACCTTAAAAATGCATCAAAGTACATTAACTATTAATAAAAATGTATCTTATTTGTATATAACTCAGCTGCAGATCCACAAATCATCTCTTCTGGAGGGTGGGTACTTTTGTTCCCCTTGGTCCCTGTGTGTTGTAAAGTAGTGACCACACCAAGCTCACTCCTGTGATGGACTACAATCTCAATACACATTAGTAAACTAAACATCAGAGCTTGGAGCGGTGACTACTTTACAACACACAGGGACCATGGGGAACAAAAGTAGCCACCCTCCAGAAGGAAGGACAGTGTCGGCACCAATTGAGAGATGATTTGAGGATCTACAGCCGAGTGATGCACAACTAAGGTCCAGTTTTGTTTATAGTCAAGGTACTTGAATACCTTAACTATAAGATTTAACTTCTGAGGTTAGCGTCACTTTAACCTCCCTGGCGGTATGATTTTGTCTTTTTTCGTGTCATTTTTCGTATAATTTTATTTTTTTCGTTGTTTTTTATATATTTTTTAATATCCTGCCGGTTCCGCCCCCCCCCCCCCCCATCGGGGTTACCGCTTATGGTATGGAAAAGTAACCAGAGCTACACTCGGGAATACCGCAAAGGAGGTTAAGGAGTCATGGCCCTGCAATGGTATGAAGTGGATTTGGGGAGAGCCTGAGAAAAAGCTGATCACCATTCCACCAGTCGGATTATCAAACAGCCAGATGTGCATTAAAGTGATGCCTCAACAAATGGTTACTTTGTCCCAGTTTTCTGATAATTTTCCAAAAAAGTTTTGCACAGGTATCAGTAAACAGGTCTTTAGCTAATGTCCGTTGAGTTGCGGGTTTTTTTTTTCTGCACACCACCACACGTATGGTATGAACAGCGCACATGGGAACCAGTTGTGCCCTTTTAACACCATACATGCACGATGGCATGCATAAAAACGCAACTCAACAAACATGTGAACACGCTCTTAGGGTCAGTAACCGAGAGATCAGCAAACAGAACAGGAGTGAAATTATCTCTACAATCTGGTCATATGTTTTCAAGCCAAGTTGAGTTCAGAAGCTTTTACACGTATACCTATTGTGGGTTGCTCTTTTATGTAATTGAGGTTTACTGGCCCTCTAACGCATACCATCTCGCACGTCTTGAAATATTCAGCACAGCTTAGCTAGCTGGGGCTCTTCTAGAACAAGCAAAATTGTCGAATCTCTTTTCTCTGTCTCTTATTTTTGCTTTTGCAGTGATGACAACTTTTCTCACTGTGTGCTGGTTTGTCTCTGTTTGTTTTATGTTTTTATTTTTTATATATATGTCTCAGAATCTGTGTCTTAAATCTCATATTCACTTTTGTGACATATGGATCATTTTAGTTTATTTTCTTTATTCCAGTTGCCGACTGATGAAAGCAAACCTTAAACCACATTATTGTGTTCTACATTTAAGCACCAAGTCATCATGTTGAGTCTGTTGCTGGATCATGGTCCTCCGTGCTTACAGTACAAATGCTTTCACAGTTGAGCTGATTCTGCTGACTCTGTTCCTGAAGTGTCTGTTTTTTCTGGTGTGCTGACTGTCATAGCATTTGTGTTTAATTGAAATGACAAGCCATGTGTACGGACTGTCCTGCTGTACTGTATGTGGAATGCAAGGACAGTGTAATCACCTTCTCTTAGTTGTAGAAGTAGACATTGGTAAAGTTGTAGCACATACTGTATTTATGGCATCAGCATTGTATGTGTGTATATAGACCGTGCTCAACAATCCCTGGGTGCCATATTTCCATGATGAATTTATCTTCTGGATCATACTTGCATATCCGATTTTCATACTCCATATTTACAGAGCAATCAATGAGTGCAACTCAGTCTCATAACAGGGGTCATTGCTGGTCAGTAAGTTGCACACTTTACCCAGCTCACTGCCCAATCTTGCCTTTTAAAGCTTGAACACATAATCTCTGATACTTTCTATGGAGATCTGTCATTCAAAAATGCTCAATCCCTGTATAATGCTACAAAGAGAATTACCTATTGCTCCATATCGCATCATTAGAGTAGGGCAGGGCTGGACAAATCCCAGGAGCCTGGTAGCCAATGCTGTCGGCACCCATTAGCGGTTTTCTTTAGTTGTCGTCAATGGAGCTAGCTCCTAAAAAATGAATTCTATATTTGCCACCCCTGGAGTAGAGTGTGTAATGTATACATTTCCCTTACCTCTGTCCACCATTCCCAGATCTGCCATTTAAAATCGTGGTGTGAGTCTTCATCTTACTGGATGGTGGCAAGTGTACCAATATTCTATGTGCTGTCACCTGTGGAGCAAGATGGAGGTGGATACTTATGGGCCCCAGACGAGGCTCAAAATGATATTTGGAGTTACATTTAAGAAAAAAAAAAATTAAATAACATGCATAATTGCAGTGAAATATTGCAAGAGATAAGAGCAGACCCCACATAACCCAGAGTTTAACAATGAAAGAAATCTATCCAATGCAATGTATAGACAGTCCTGGAGATAGACATTTGAATAAGGCCCTGCCTCATCTAGGTTGTAAAATAAAAAAGATATATATATACTCACCTGAACCTGAGAGCTGGCTGGGTCTTGAACCTCTCTGTAGCCTCTCTCTTCCTCCTCTCTGGGGATGAAATGTCCCTCGGAGTCCTCATGTAAATACACTGTATTGCATGTGATGATTCCCAGGACCCTAGACCGCCGGAGTGGAGGGGGAGCGAGGCTGCAAGAATAAGTCTATTAGCCAGCCGCCTCCGAGGTTCAGGTAAGTATACGTTTTATTATTTTGCACCCTAGACGAAAATGAGCAGTTAATCCTTGCCATGCGGGGATAGCCGCACTGCAAGGGTTAAGATTAGTTATTCTTTAAACGTACTCTTCCCTGTGGTTTTATCTTATAGCCTTGACAGCAGACTGCTAGGTAAATTGCGTTGACATCAGGATTTCAGGTGCACGCTTCAAATAGTTTATCATGCTGTTTTAAATGCCATTCCCAGTCTACCCGAAGGTTAAATGGTGAGAACAAGGGTGGCATGAACTGGCAAGCTGCTGCTTTTCAGATTATACAGCCGCATGTGGAATATACTCTGCTGAAATGTTTTTGACCAACGGTTCAGACTACATTGAAACATTTGCTGAACAGAACCAGTTGGTCTATTGCTAGGTTACTACTTTACAGTGTTATCACCTGGTTTTTATAGGAAACAAATGCCTTTCTACCTTGTTTTTGCTTGTGGGATAAAGAACAGAACCATATCTGAATCAACAAGCTACTAGCAGTTGCTGAATACAACTCCCAGTTTCCTGAAAATCACAAATCTGGATCCACTTCTCGTTACTACAAAGCAATGTCTTCATCTGCTGAGCACTGATGTTATACCAGTGGCGTTCTTCTACCCATATGCCCTCTTGAGGATTTTTCTTTTTAAAAAAAATTTTTAGATTCCATGTTTTGAATAAAATATACCTGTAAATGTTCATAAAGGGTTTATTGAAAGACTTGAGATCTTTGAAGAGCCATCAGACTCTCCAGCTTTTTACGCTTGGGGAATGCAAGGCATGACTAATTCAAGTTAATGAATTATACTATTGGTTTTAGTTGACCGTTCTCCCATCCTAAAGGCTCGGTGCAATTAAACCAGTTTTTAGTAGCTAAAGGGGTCAACATTTAAAAATGCATTTTGCTGTAAAAAAAAAAGCTGGATTAGAACCATGTAGCTTGTGGCATCCTGAAGCCTTAGAATACTCCCCCGGCATGTAGTTTTGATGGGGCTGTAGGTCCTTTGTCTGACATACTGGCTTGTAGTGAAAATGTTCAGCCGTACATAATTACTCCTTCTTATATTCCAGCTGTATTCTGGGTTGAGTTGAGAGTTGAGCCACAACATGGTAAGCAAGGCTTTGCCATGCCGCTGCCCATCCATTTAAGCAGAGGTCTATCGTTTTTGATAGCTTTTTGTCCATGCAAGCTGCATCAGAGCTGCTTTATGCAGATATAGGACATTCAAATATGTTTTTTAAAATTTTAAGATGCATTTGTTTTCCTTTGAATTTAATTCCAGAGAAGATCTGCACACACTCGTTCCAGGTTGTTTGTGTTGAGTTGATGTTCAGTTTCTTTGTGTTCATGGACCTGTCACTTTCATCGTTTTGCAGTGCTGAATGTATTTAAAATAAACATGAATTTAACGGGATCGCTTAACCATTATCGCAGTCAGCTTAGTAGGAATTTGCAGCAAGGAGTGGTAATTTTTTTTTAGGCATGGCGTCTGTGAAGATCATTGCATGCAGTGTGAAAATTCTTCTTTTTCTAAATGTATTGTATTTCAGAGTACATTGCACATGAGCAGAGCAGAACTACACTATAGACATATATCCAGACTATTCACTGATGTAACATAGCATCCTTAACTGTAAGCTAATCTTCCCCAGTGCAGAAAATATATTAATGCTGAATAATTCATCATTAACTTAACATTTAGGTGTTACAATTCTGCCTTGTAGTTAAAGCATTTGTTTAGGAAATGTGGACCAGTATTCAAGCTGTTAGTCATATTTCACTATTATATTCAGGGATATACCGATACTAGTATCGGTATCTGTGCCGATACCTAATATTTGGGCTCCATGCTCCCTCGTCACCAGGGAGCAAGGAATTGGCTTCCCGGCCAATCGGGAAGCCAGGGAAAGCGGGTAATGACTTGCCCCCCTTCCTGATTGGCCAGACAGCCCGCTCCCTCACCTGGTGCAGGTGATTACAAGCCGCCTGGCTTTCTTAATGGGACTGCCGGTATCGGCGAGTACCGAAAAAAAATGATCAGTACTCGATACCAAAAAAAATGTATCGTGCATCCCTAATTTATATTGAATTTTTGGAAATCAGTTAAAGCATTTGGGTTTTCCAGGTGTCAGTCAATATTTTTTTTCAATATTAATAATTCTTTATTTATCTTACATTGTATACCCATAAAAAATTATTAAAAACTTTAGAAGCTGTTGACCCTCGTGTTACAACAGAGACTTCCACACCGCTGACTTCCATTACATATTCCACATGGTTATCATTTCACATAAAGAATCCAAAGTAGATCCATTATCTTCAATTATGGAGTCAGGGTGGTTATACATCAATGTGTTTCGCTACTTCATTAGGATTAAAGCTGTTCAAATGGGCACGATCCGGACAACAGACATCCACAATGACGAGGATTATCCTGATGGTGGGGGCCACTGGGCCATGAACGGAGGGTCTAGTCTTATAAGTACCCCACTGAAATACTCTTATGGACCTCATGACCACCATATATACGAAAACGTATATTCCACAGTGACTGGAATAAAATATACTATTTCTTCTTTTCTATGATGCCTAAATGGCTGGTCCTACTGTTGCTATTGGAGGTATAAATACTTCTAAGTACACAGTACAGTCACGAAAAAAGGTAGTATCCATCCATAAATCAGGGCCACCAATGTGTTTCAATTCCCCTTACAGGTTGTAAAGTGTTTAATGATTGTGTATATAATGCAAGATAAAGAATGTTTAATATTACAAAGGTATATTGACTGACACCTGGGAAATAGGGCTGCAACAACTAATCGACATAATCGATTTTGAAAATAATCGTTAGCTGCAGCTCTACTGGGAAACACATGTTTTAACATATTTGTTGAATTTGAAGTAAATATTTGGTGTAGTGTCTGGTATCACCTGCCAATACCAGTTTTGAGTTTTCAGAAAAAACTAGTAGTAGTCACTAGATTTGTTCTGTAATGTTGAAGACATTTTGTAACTGGTCCACAACCCTTATCAAGTTCTGATGAGTGTCCGAAAGATTTTTTTTGTTTTATCCACAGATATGGCACCTATGCCTTAATCGAATCAACATGGAATGTGTAGATGTTGATTGTCCATTATGGCAGGTGTGACAGTTGTGGGACAACCCTGTTTTAGTTAAAGGAAGCTTGCATAGCTGCTAAACATTCACTTTACATGGATAAAGGTGTGAATTGTTTTCAATACACCGGGGTAGAGCTAGCAAAACTGCTTTATATGTGGAAGACAAATAGTGTTGAAGGTCTTCACCCATGTTCAGGGATGGTTGTTCCATTTTGACGTATATGGCCTGTTTTCACACGTCGCAACCCATTTGTGCTCTCTCCACAATGTGGCCCATAAAATTGAAGTGACTTGGAGAAGCTACAAAACGTCATCTGCATTACAAAACAATTCCAGTCGAATTGTCTATTACTAGCTATATTATGACCTGGATAAATGAGAACCTTCACAGACTTCTCAGAAATATTGCTCTCAAACTGTCCAGTAATTGCAATGTTCTCAGTAGAAAGGTAATATATATTATAATATGATCTTTTTCTTGACCTTCAGTATTCACTATTGAGCATAGAGCGATAATCACATAATCATGGCAATTACTCTGAAATACATTGATGTCGGTCGTCTGTGTGTCCTGCTTCTTTTGTTAACTTGTTTATTCATCCGTCTTGTAGATTACCACACGGGAAGACGTGAATTCCAAGCAAGCGACGAGCTTTAAGGCTGACCTGGAGCCCGAAGCTTTCAGACCAAACCTCAGTGACCCCAGCCAGCTTCTACAAACTGACCAAATAGAAAAGGTGGGCTGTTTTTATTTAAGTGGCACAAGGGTTTCTTCCTTATGTAGACGCAAATTTGTCCATGTGAGAGCAAATTGAAGAGTTGCCTGGATTGCATGATTGCTTTTCAAACTATTCACTACCATTGTATTGTGCACTTCATATCCTGTTGTTTAACCACTTGCTGTCCGGAGCAATTTCTTACTGTTTGCAGACACATGATAAAATCTGAATTTTTGGCTAGAAAACAGCTTCAGACCCCCAAACAATTATTTTCTGAAAGCATAGGTGACGCTTTAAAAGCTTTCACTGCTCATCAGTTTAGTGTTACCAGCTATAAATGGCCCTAGAATTATTGCTCTCACTCTGACGATTGCGACGATATGTAATGTGTGGCACAATTTTAGTTTTTGCACTATGCGCACCCGACACATGTTTGCGTTATATGTGCGTGCAAGGCGGGGGACTTTAAAAAGCACACTTTTTTTTTTTTACACAACTTTATTCCTATCACATTCCTATGTAATCGCAATTGGAAAGTGACAGGTCCTCTTTATGGAGACATCAGGGGTCTTTCAGACCCCCAATGTCACCTAGGGACCCCAAAGAAGCTGAGGAAGCAGAGATCTGCGTCCCCAGCTTTCTCACCTGGCCCTAAGAACCGGAGAATGTACACAGTGACACCGGAGGTGATGAAATACACATCCCTTCTGGTCCAGTGATCGGAGAAGAGATCAGCGCCTGGAAGCCTGTTGATCTCTCTCCGATCAGTCAGGGGAGACCCATCATGTCGGTTCCCGGGCCCGCACAGGAGGACAGCGGAGCCTGGGAAAGCCAGCGGCAGAGGTGGGGGAGGGCATCGTACAAGCGAACGGATTGCTTGGATTTAAACAGCAAATGCCTACTCTTTAAAATGTAATTTAAAAAAGCAGCAGCAGCCGTGTTCTTGGTATTACCGCGACAGGACGTTTCTTTTTTTTACAATGGGCGGTCCTGAAGCGGTTAAATGCTAATTAGGTTTATTGTACCTCTGTCAGAATTATTTTATAATTGGCTTTTCATGAAAATTAAAAATCCCTGTTTGTTCTGGGACCCCTTCATGCATTAATGTACTGTGCCCTCCCTTCCCTCCTTCAGCTCCCAGTTTTTTTCAGGATGGAGAGTGGCAGTGTCACATGTAGGTAAAATCTAGCTTTGCGCTCACAACCTTTAGCAAACATTTTGTGTTTGGGTAATTTTTATGTATTTAATTTATGTTGTTCTTTACAATATGTTATAATCTTTGTTTTAGAAATTAACATTTCATACGTGATAAAGGATTCCTAGAACACTGTGGTTTAGCTAAAGAGAAAGATACTGCCTATGTGGAGGCACCATTTGTCTGATTAAAACTTTAGAATGTCCAATATGGGAGGAGTCACTTGTCACAAAAAACAAAGTCCCCTGCTACACATGTTAGCAGGTATTGTCACATGCTCCAGAGTGAAAGCAATAATGCAATCAGGCCAATATTCATGGCTAACTCTAAACTGATGACCGAGCTTTTATATTTATATATATTTATTTTTTTCTCTTGATCGAACCCTAGGGCTAATGTTTTAGTATAAAATAAGAGAAAACTAGAGATCATTTCTCCACTTAATTTTAAAATGGGTTGTGCATGTACAATGTAATGATGTCTATTCTGACAGCTCACGAAGCACCTCCCACCTCGCACAATTGGCTACCCATGGACACTTGTGTACAGCACGGCAAAGCATGGAATGAGCCTGAAGACGCTATACAGGACAATGCTGGGATTAGACACGCCTGTCCTCCTGGTGATTAAAGACAGCGATGCCCAGGTTAGAGATTACATTTACTTGAATGTGTATGTTCAGCCAAAATCTTTTTTTATTTTTAGTTTTAGATAGAATGTGAAATGATTAGAAGCCTCATTGCACTTTGCTGATATCTGGGGCTCCATTAGCAACATTTGACCTCACCTCACCACATTAAAAGACCAGCAGATGTTCTAATCTTGACCTACTCTATTAAAAAAATTGGCTGGATTTTGTTTGCTGAAGTACTTAATTATAGGTTGCAATTGTGTGTAAAAATCCGCGCTTTTGGTGTTTCCTTTCAATGCAATGTGTCAGCAGCAGTGAAAACAAGTGAATCCTAAAGTCACTCTCTACAATCTCAAGACAAAGTCACTGCGCTAAAAAACTTACAACTTATACATAATTATACATAAACAATAAAGTGCCTAGAGATAGCCCCAACATAATATGCAACCTCCCCTATAGTTAAATTCAATACAATCTCAAAACTGCATGTGCAATGTGTTGTGATCCAGATCACATGTGTAACTCCACAAATTGGTCTCAAAAAGGCAAAAAAAAAAGGCTCTTTAAGAGGAGATGTCAGCAATATATAAAGTGCAAATGTTCAACATTCCAAAAAGGTATTTCTTAGTGTGATATCCTTAGTGTTTCTGCGTAATCAATACACTCACCAGACTCCTTTGACCACTATTAAATGGTCAAACTGCACTCAGATTCAAATCCTTAGCGACCTGCTCTCCCAGGACAGCTGATGGCAACCTCCTTTGCAGTCAATATCTCCTTTCAGTTTGCCTTTTTGGAATGTTGAACATTTTTTATATATTGCTGCCATATCCTCTTAAAGAGCCTTTTTTTGTGTGTCTTTTTGAGACCAATTTGTGGAGTTGCACATGTGATCTGGATCACAACACATTGCACATGCAGTTTTGAAATTGAATTTAACTATAGGGGAGGTTGCATATTATGTTGGGGCTATCACTAGACACTTTATTGTTTATGTATAATTATGTATAAGTTGTAAGCTTTTTAGCGCAGTGACTTTGTCTTGAGGCTTCTGCGCTTACAGTGTTTCTCATTGTCCGCCAGTAGAGTCCCACAAACACTTGCTGATCCTGCTAGTGAAGTCTGCCTAAAGTAGCTTCCTGTGATGGGGCGGCAATGCTGCTGCACTGCTCCTGAATTCAGAGCAGAGTTGCCACTCATGTAGACTGTCTGCTTGCACTACTGTGGAATAAGATGACGTTGCGGGGGCGTGGCTTCCAGCATCAGTTACTGCTTATTCCAAGCCTGTAGCTTGTCAATCAGCACCTGGCCACACCTAGTCTACCCCTTGCTTTCTGGATTGACAGCACTATCTCTGCTGCTGAAACCTCACTGTGAGCTGCAGTGTCTGAGAGGGGGAGCATGAGAGACAAATGAAGGGGAATTTGGCTCTTTCGGGAAAGGTTTTTACTTTTCGGAATGTGTATTATATAGTAACTGGATTTGATCCTTGTTTAGACTGTCATACAGAAGCCTTTAGTTTTACTTTAACCCCTTCGTGACGGGAGACGTACAGAGTACGTCCCGGCACTTTCTTCCTATATGACTGGCCACGTACACTGTACGTGACGAGTTATATCAGGCTTTGTAATGCTGCTAACAGCTGATTCTCAGCAGTTACCAGTCATTAAAGAATGTCTCACTATTGAGTCTCACTTTTTGTAAAAGCTTCTTCCTTTCAGTAATGAAAGAATGAAGCCGTTACATGCAAATACAGGACTGCAATTTGCGATCCCGTATTTGACAGCTGAAAATAGCAGAGGGGTAGCAGTGACTCACCTCACCTCTCTGCTATTTGTTTTGACAGCTGAGAGCCCGATGTTTAGATACATTTCACTCAAAAGATACAAGGTATATCTTTTGAGTGAAATGTATCAGTTCTGATCGTCTAGGCACGATCAAAGAGCTTTTAGTGAGATCTGAATCTGACTAAAGTCAGGATGAGGCTCTAAGGTTATTAATAGCCAAATAAAATGTTTTAAAAAAAGTTAATTTATCACGCAGTCATAGTGATTGCTTGCTATAAACTGACAAGAAAAAAAACAAAGTGTAAAAAAAATTAAATAAAGTGTAAAACAAAATTAGGCAAATATAAATTATATATAAATATATGTAAAAGTGAGCCAGCTGTGAGGTCTGCTATCTTGACCAGAGGCTTCTTTTTTTACATCAGCTCCTTCTTTTGAAAGTTTTTCCTTTTTGTATATGTTCATTTATAACTTAATTTTAAAACGTGCAAACTTGAGTTTTATCTATGACCTTTATAGGCCTTGGTGAAAGAATTGGGCTCATCTTTATCCTAAGCCAACATCCACCACATTATTGGTGATTCGCTACTAGATATTTTTATATAATGAAGTAAAAATATGGGACAATTTAAACCATACATGCAATCCAGTTTCAATAGTAATAATACATTGCTCTCTTTATTTACCTTCGACACAGTGTGAAACTGCACTATTGAACTTTTAATCCCGGCATCCAAAGCCTGCGTTCACAATTTCCCCTTTTCAAGGAGACATTGCTTAAGCACCCTGCCACAATAGCCCATTGTCACCCTCATCATCGACTGGGCTTGTTGTGACATGGTGATGTCACATGGTCATAGGCAGAGCAATGCCCAGTCCGATAACTTGTCTCCTGACCATGGCTAATGCTACCTTATGCCACTGACTAATCCGATGGGCTTCCAGACACTATGGGGAATGCAGACAACCCTGCCCACCACACCCTTTGAATTCTGGCTGCAAGTAGTGAGAATCAGAACCTTGTTATTGGAATGTTCAAGATTCAGGGCATGATATTAACCAATGGTGAGAGGTTGCATACATACAGAGATGCCTTTAGTTCTACAATATGCAATGTGATTTTATTTATTTATTTTAAACAGATTTTTGGAGCATTAGCATCAGAGCCATTTAAAGTGAGTGATTGCTTCTATGGCACCGGGGAGACTTTCCTGTTTACATTTTGTCCTGACTTTCAGGTGAGTGTATTCCCCATAATAGGTCTGTCAATTACTTGTTTTCCTGTTGCCTTATTTATGGTATCCCAGGTGGACACCCAATTTGGAATATAGACTCATTACTATGTCAGGACAGAGGAAAGCCAAGCAGTGCATATTCATTTAACCACTACTAATAAGATCCCACTTTATATTTCCCCTCTGAGCACATGTGACTGTAGCTATTCTCCTGAGAAAACTCTGGAAACTAATGCAGTAACTGCAGATGCAGAGACAATGGGCTACTGGGCAATATAAGGCCTATTCCTGGGATTGTAGTGTCAGCAAATGATAATTACATCTCTGCTTCATAGAGCTTTGTCATTTGTCAGGGAGGGTGAAACTGCATTGCCATTGTGTTTCTAATGCAATCCATAGAATGTGTGCCTTCAGAGAAGTTCCAATATTTACATTTTAAAGGAGAACTATGGGGTTAAGGCTTTTCCCCATAGTTCTCCTTTGGGTAACGGGAGGACACAAACTAGCATCCTCCCGTCACCCTAGGCTCAGTATACCGCGAGCTGCTGCTCGCGGTATACTAAGACGCCGCAGGTGAAGCGGATCCCGACAATTATGTCTGGATCCACCCAGCTGCGTGACTGACAGCTGGCTCTGCCTATCTAGAGTCAGCGCTGGCGGATCGGAGCGGGGAGGGGGGAATCCAGCCCCTCCCCTGTCACGGCAGAGAGCCGTGACAGGATCGAGAGGTGAGCGAACGCCGGTATGTGTTCGCTCACCTCCCGATCTACTGAGCCGACCTGTGACAGTCTCATTGTCAAAGGTCGGCTAGAACTATGAGGTGAGTGAAAAGCACTCACCTCATAGTTCTCCTTTTAATAATGCTATCCTAACCAGTTATAGAGACCACTTTAAAAGGATAGTGCACTATATTCCCATAGGTTTGTGCACACCATACACTTATTGAGACATTTCGTTCCAAAACCATGGGCATTGATATATTGTTGTCCCTCCCCTTTTGTGGCTACAGGTCTTTACCAAAGCTTTACATACAATTCATTCATATCGGTCCCTGCCCTCAAGGAGCTTACAATCTAAGGTCCCATACTAGTGCCAATTTAAACAGGAGTCACTTAACTTACCAGCATGTGTCCGACGTGTGGGAGGAAACAAGGGTACTCAGAGGAAACCCACACGAGCACAGGGAGAACCTGCAGATATTATGCTGTCGGAACCTGAACTCAAACTGCTTACCCTAGCGCTGCAAGACAGAAGTGCTAATCACTGAGCCATTGTGCTGCCTCCATTCATCTGGGAATGCTTTCCATAAGATTTTGAATTGTGTGTCTGTGGGAATTTGTGCCAATTCTGGCAAAAGGGTTTTAGTGAGGTCAGGTACTGATGGAGAAGAAAGCCTAGTGTTTCAATTGCCTCCAAAGGAGGGTGCTGGCCAAGGTGGGTGGCTAGAAACAGTCAAGTATCTTTGCAAGGGAGATTTCATTGCTGGGATTGCCATTATATTATGAGGCCCAACAGGTACTTTAGCAAAAGTTTCACATAAGTGGACTGACCCTCTAAAAATGCAATAAAAGAGTAGGGAGAAGAGAAAACACATTTTGCTTACTGTTAATAATAAACATTGTTTATAGACAAAAAGGTCAAAGTGGGGATATCTACGAGATGAAAAATTAATGACTATGATGATAAGGTTGAACAAAATGCACAGCTATAACAAAATTTACCTTACAGGCGGGAGACGGATCAATGGTTGACTATACTTACGTCTAGAACCTTGAAACGCCACCAGAACCCTTTGCATTCTGACTCCAAGTTCATCTTTGGGAAAAGGCAGAGCGTAAACATGCCCCAATATATTGCCACACAGACACCTCTAATTGGTGCCAAGTATTACACTGCTCTTTTTCTATAATGTCAGCATTTGCATATCCCTGGATGCTGTGACTCAAGATCTAAGTCTTCTATGCGGGGATCCATTGGTGCCTACTTTCTGCACTTTTATCCTCACTAGGTTACAGTTATGATCAGTTTCTTGGATGCAGCCTAAATTCCTTGTGAGTGAGCTGACTTATTTGTAGCTTCCTTGCCTTGACATCCTGTTCAGGGCGCTGAATTGCTGGAATTGAATTTTAACGGCCAATAGCATTCCTGCTGTGCAGTAGAATTTTGATTGCATTAGACACCAGGAAGTGGTCTGATCCAAGTCGTGATTTCATAACCCTCATTTCAAGAAAGACAGCTGGAATCTTATGAACTAATAGTGGTAACACATGGTTTTTGACACCTCCACATTTTATAGTTCGGCCCTCCTTTTTCCGCACCACATTTTCCCTTTGTTTTCTCACGGATACTCATCCGGGGTTATTTATTTCTGTTTTAATAAACAGACATTGGCTCTTTGACGGGCTGTATGGGAAAGATTAAAGGTGCCCATACACCTTACGATTATCGTACGATTTTCGTATGCGATCGACTTTTCGTCTGATAATCGTATGTATGCATTGCAGTGTCCGACTGACAGTACTGTACAATCGTACAACTTTTGACGGTCAAGCATATTTTAAAACTTTGCTAGATCGTACGATTGTAGTAAAGGTTGCTGGCCTTTCCGTCCGTCAAAAGTCGTACGATCTACACTGCGCTTGCGCAAACGAAAATACGGCAAACCAATTACCGCATTTCGTCCAGGTGCTTTTCGTTAATTACGGCTAAATTAATCTTGCGATCATCGGGGCAGGATGGGGCTGCCGTACGACTATTCGATCATCAGACGAAAAGTTTTGTCCGATAATCGTAAGGTGTATGGGCAACTTAAGGCTTGATCCTACACTTAATCAGTCATGACTAGCCCTGGTGATTACTACCAGTTTAAATTAGTTCTTAATTAGAACACATTTAGGTTTACAGTGACTAATAAAATGGGAAAACCTGTTTCTTTTTTAAATGTTTCTACAGTCTAGATTTCTGGAGTCTGGAAATGTTATGCCTTATGTTTATTTTCTTCTACTTAATGTATTTAAAGCCCACACAAAATAAATGAATGTGTGTGCTAGTCCTCTCAACAGCATGGTAGATCCAGCAGTGTTTAGAATCAGCCCGATGTGATATCCAGGTGAGAATCTGGCAGTTTAGGTCTACTATAAACACTCACCTTCATGACCCCTCTAACAAAAATATTTCGGATAACAATTTCTTTATTACAAAAACAAGCCGTGGTTTTATCCAATGTGTGTTGTTTATTTTTGTATTAATATTGATTTCAATTATTGTTTTGTAGACCTATTGTAGGGTAACAGAATAGTTGAGTTTGTATTTATGTGCTTTACTTTCAGCTAATTTAAAAGAGATACTGTGCTTCCTATGGTGTTGGAACCTGTCATTTTTGCTCACAAAGTTTTTTTCCAACTATCTCAGGAAGATTGTATATGATGAAGAGGAGTGAGGTAGCATAAGAGAAAGGTGGAAAGGAATAAAAAGTTAAAGCCAGAAAGACAAAGAAGAGAGCCAATGCAATTCCCCCAACCCCACACGGAGGACCAGGCACCAAAACGCCCGGTGGCTGTTGAGGAATATATTTTTAAATGAAATGCCTGGAGTCCACTTCTGACATATTTTGAAAATACTACTGCCAGTCTAAAAAAATTAGACTGAAATGAAGGTTAATTGTATGAAGGCTATACTTGGCCATCAGGGTTTTTTATATTACGCATTGCTGCCTATTGAACATATTTTTAGGCACTGGCAGCTGAAGGGGCAATTTTTGGGCAGTTTGGAAGAGGAGGATTGTAAGGGGAACACCTCACCAGTGTGATGATGCTGTTTCATGATATAACATTGGGTTTTTGGGTGTGGGTAGTGTAGATGCAAGTATTGCTTAGCTGTATTCTTCTTCGCAAACACAGCCATCTTGTTAAAGGGGAATTTAAATATTCCATTTTCTGGTGGGCGTTACGTTAAATCTTCACTATTTTTCAGAGCTACGTGCTCTGCTGCTCCTGCTGGGTGATGTGGTTCCTCTTACGGGCCACTACCTCATTACAGAAATGGCATAGCAGCCAGCAGGAGGGACCACAGTGGGGCCTGGACAAGTTGGATAGCAGTAGTACACGCAGCTCTGCCAGACAGGGAAGATTTAACTTGTTGCCCATCAGAAAGGTAAATATTCAACATGTTACAAGCTGGGTGTATTTGCATGTTGTTATCCTAGTGACAGGGTCACTTTATTTTAATCCAGTAATGCTTCAGTATTATGGAACATAAAAGCAGATAGCTTTCTCTTTTCCTGTCTCCTTTTAATAGCAGTGCTGGATATTATATTTATCTCTAAACTTTGTCCTCTATTATCTTGTAAACAAAAGCTTCTTGTGACCGTTGGAATTATAGAGAACGCATCACATCACATGATTGGAAGTCTTTAGAAGATATGACTGTAGGAAGGGAGGGGTGGAATTCAACATATTAATGTTTTTTCCTGTTCTATTTCTAGGTGTTTAAATGGACAGGGGATAATATGTTCTTTATCAAAGGTGATATGGACTCGCTAGCATTCGGTGGAGGAGGGTAAGTATAATTTTTTAAGGAACAAAAATGTTTTGCATTCCTTTTTTTATGGTATAATTTATATTTTTAATCTGAGATGTATTTGCATATTGCTAAATTATATTTTAAGCGCTTTTTATAAGGGAGTATACATTCAAATATGTACAGTGTTTTAGCAGACTATTCTAAATCTAACCAATTAAAGTAATCCTTGGTTGTTTAGGTGTCTTCTGTAATGTAAATGCTTTTAAAATGGCTGTAAAGTTTGTAAAATGCTAAAATTCACAACCAAAAGGGCTTAGGGAACTGCATTCAGGCAAAGACGGCCAACAAGTCAGTCTCTTAACCTGCCACCATGTTTTGGGTTATGGAAAGAAACAAAGGCATCCAGAGGCAATCCTTGGGGATAACATACAAATACTATGCAAGTATTGTGTCCCTGGTTGGGATTGAAACCATGACACCAGGCAAGAGGCTACTACTAGCTGTGTAAGCCAATGTAAAATGGTGGTCACTGAAATAAATCGGTTTCAAAGTTTGTTTGCATGCAATGTCTATGAATAGCCATGAAGTAAAATAAAAAGTAAGTGTAAATGGTTTTGTGTGCTTTCCTAGTAATTCGTTTGGGGAGGTTGGCTGGTGGTATGTAGAGCACTGTACTTGTATTATAATTAAGTGCTTGTTTTTTTATACTTTGTAATTTGTTAGTCTATTTATGACTTTATCATCGATCAAGGGACAAAGAAATGTAGTAATTGTTGGACATTATACTATGAAAGTTATACTGCCGCCTTCAGGAGGTTTGGATACTTGGACACACACACACAAATTACACCAACCACCATATAAGTTTTTTGCTAGTGTTTGTTTAAAGACAACTATGGGGTAAGTGTTTTTCCCAATAGTTCTCTTAAGGTTTACGGGAGGACATATACTAGTGTCCTCCCGTGACCCAAAGCTCAGTATATCGCGAGCTACAGCTGGCAGGTATACTGAGACCTCCGCAGCCGAGACGGATCCCGACAGTGCTGTTGAGATCCACCCAGCTGTGTGAGTGACAGCTTGCTCTGCCTATCCAGAGGCAGAGCCAGCTGTGCCCGCCCCTCCCTGTCCATTCCTCCAGTCAGCGCTGAAGGGGAGGGGGAAATCCCTGCGGGGAGTGGTGAGTGACAGTCGCCGCTCACTGCAGGGAGATGAGCGAGCGACAGTATGTGTTCACTCCCCGATCTATTGAGCCGACGTGTGACAGTTTCATTGTCACACGTCGGCTCGAACTACAAGGTTGAGTGATTTTCACTCACCTCATAGTTCTCCTTTTTAGTTCATTTTTGTTGGTTAGTTATTTGTTTTTAGGGAGTTTGCTTTGTGTTTTCTAGTGTCTATTTGCTAGTGTGGCTAGACTTCTAGTAAGATTTTCTACATCTGTTGGCTATCTCAGTGGTTTATTGCCCACCCCCTCAGTTGGATTGCTTTTGGATGTTCTAGATGTCCAACAATTACTACATTCCTGTATCCCTCAATTGACAATCAAGAAAATAACATTGTGAAGATTGATTGTAAGATGTTGTACTTACTACCATAAAATATTTTTCTTGAAGGCTGTTAAGGGACACAGATCCCATTCCCCTCTGTGTTATCGGGCTTATAACTGAGGAATGACCGTTGGAGGTGGGGGTTATACTGCGTCCTGCTTAAAATTTTTTGTCTACCAGTGTCCAAACCTCCTGAAGGTGGCGATATAACTCGTCTGTCCAAGAATTATTGCATTCTTGTGTTCTCAGACACAGAAATGTGGTAAATAGAACATTTTATAAGTACAACAATTTTATTGCCTTCTCTGTAAATTTACTCGATGAGTCATTTTAAAACCTAATTAGGTCCATTCGGAGAAATAAACTTTAGCATCAACTTGAGGCCTCTAGATGGCGATGTACACTTTGTAATTATGCATCGGGCCAAAAAATCTCTTAATATAGATTTATAGTACTTAGCGGGGTCTACCAAATATTACTTACCTTTGTGCCCCTTTTCCTACAACCTGCAGCTGTGCATCACAGACTGTGTACAGCAGGTTTTTCTAAAGCTTTCAGCAAACTGCTTTAAATCACCATTCAGCTCCAGTTTGAGGAGGTTAAACACAGATCTTAGTTGGTGTGCTGACTTTACACAAGCACAGCTTGTAGGCTTCATCACTAATTAAAGCTCAAGTTTAGGGATTTTTTTGTTTGTTTTTTAAGGGTACTGCACCAAACACCTTATTACCTGTGATGATGTGTATCCCACCTTCTCCAGACTGCTGCTTCGTGACAAAATGGTCCCTTCATGCCGCCAGATACAGCCAGGGTGACTGACTTCGGTGCTCTGGGGGTTACACCAGTGACCATCAGTGTCATAGAGTTGCACTGCTCACTCGCCCATTCCTTCTCCATTCATAGAGCTCGTTCTACCTTGTTCCACAATGCAAAGAAAGCAATCTGTTAATTGGCAGGGCAGATCCTGTCATTCATCCGTTCCTGCTCCTCCTCCATTCAGTGTGTTGCATTGTGGATAAATAATAGTATAAATAGAAACTGTATAAATAGAGAAGTGAACAAGAAGAAGCGGGCAACTGTTAACGCTCAGAGCTCTTAAACATAGTTACTCTGCGGGGGTATGTGACGGTATTGTCATGAAGCAGAAGTCTGGAGAAGGTGGGATACACACGATCGCAGGTAACTGTGATTGGAGCTGTATCCTTAAAAAAAATAAACTTCAGGTTTAAAGCCTTGTTGAAAGCCTGGCAGTTGCTTGTTTAAAGTGGCAGGTAGAACGTCTCGGCACCTCTTGGCCTTGCTTTTAACATCTCATATTGGCTTTACCAGTATATATGCTTTGCCTGGCAACAAGTGAAACCAATCCGTGAACTGCTAATGCTGTCCAAGTCGTAGGATCTGAACCCTTTACCCTAAATATACCCTAAAATAAAGATAATGCTTACCTGGCCTACCACCCATGTCTTTTAAACTTCACACTCTTGCCAGAATCTTCAGCATTTGACACACTACCGAGTGCCTGTGACCCTCCAATTAGTGTCGTGGTTCCTCCTGACAGCCACTACAGCTCTGCAGGGACACAGTATTGATGTAGCAGGCAGCAAATGGAAACACGTGTGCAGTGAGGGACACAGGCATCACAATACCAGTTGTGTAGGACACTGAAGATCCTTGGTCTGGTGTAACCCGGCAAGAAAGCCAAAATCAGAGGCGCAGGCACCTGAACTGTAAAATATCTCTCTCTTTTACAGGGTAATTTTATAAAATCACTTTTTTTTTTTCCATTTTGACAACAGAATTGAAGGGTATAATTATAATAAATATCCCTTTGTCGAACAATATTTTTGTAATTGCTGTATGACCATCTAATTTCAGGGGTCACTTATTTTTGTCTCCTTGTTCTTTGTTTCAGAGGAGAGTTTGCTCTGTGGCTGGACGGAGACCTCTATCACGGGAGAAGTCACTCGTGTAGAACCTTTGAAAATACTACACTTTCTAAGAAAGAAGATTTCATTGTCCAAGACATTGAAATTTGGGCATTTGAGTAAATATGTAAATAAATAGAGCACAGAAGATCTCCTCAACCCTGTACAGAAGAGAGGAGGAGAGACTCCATGTACTGCGGCTTACTAATATATACCCTTTTAATATATTTGTATTTTTGTTAATATTTAACCATAGTAATTTTTTATTTTTTTCGGTAGTTCTATCTATTTTCGGACATGAATATTGGGTGAAGCTGTAACTGTACGTTTTTGATGAATGTCGTACCTCTTGTCACTTTCTCTGTCACCGGCTCAAGTCTAGAAGAAGGCTGTAGAAGTATACATCACAAGCAGACTGCTCTTATCTTCATGTGGTCATCTGTGAGATTATAACAGCTGTTGCATTGTTTGAAACCTTCCCCCAGTAAAGTATGTTTAGGATCCAGGGTTCATCGACTTGAAGGACACCGGCTCAAAAGTTATATTTTTGGCATGGGACGGCACTAATGTGATTTACACACCTTTCTGGGTCTCGCAAAGACTCCAGTAGCAAGATCTGCCAATTAAATTCCATATGGCAACACTTTCCTCCTTAGCAAGCCATTGAAGTCGTCATCCTCTCACCACTTTATTGTCCATTTTATTTTGTTATACAATGTGAAGAAACTTATAGAGAAGCCTGAAACGCTAGCCTGGTTTTTAAAGGGGGTTTTCACTAAAACAATCCCTGATATCTAACTCCAGGCATTTTTATACCTGGAAACTTCTTCACCACTTTCTGTGTTTTAGGAAGCCAGAAGCTGCAATGTCGCATGTAGCACTTCCTGCTGGTGAGTCTGAGTACGCAACGTACCTGTTCAATAGTATTCTAGGAGCAGTCTAATAGCATTCTGATGTTTACAAAAGGAACTCTGTAAGTATGGAAGGTTTTCTATAGTCAAGTGGCAGGGTTTCTATGGAACTTACTTTATTTAAGGGTGAGAATTCTGTTGGAGGTTGTTTTATGTAGAAATACCTGTTTGAAGGAAACCTATAGAGATATAAAAATGGAGGCTGCAATTTCTGTTCTTCTGGAAATGCCAGTCAGGCTTTTTCATGCTGGTTAAATGGCTTTAATCCTTTCTGAGGCACTGACCAAGAGCAAGTATGCAGATTAGGAAAGTGAGAACTCCTGACCGGCATACATATTCTGGGTACGTCTCATATTGATGGCCAGACAACTACCATTTTCAGTCAGGGAGTTTAGCAATGACAGCCTCCATACTTTCCCAATACAGGTTTTCTGTGGTGGCTTTGGTTGTGGAACAAATTCAGGATCAGGAAATCTTACTTTTAAAGTGCTTGATTACCCATTCGCTTTTCAATGTTAATCTTTGCTCATTCACTGCAAAGCGAAAAGGTTCACCTGGTAGACCATTCTGTCTGATGTGGAGTCTTGCCATCCCTGTGTTCCCCTGCCAACCACTTTCCTAGCCAAAGCCATATGATATGTGGCAGACAGGACCCTTCCTCCCACTATGCAGTGCACCTATATCGCCATTTGCTGGGTCAAGATCTTTGTTTGAAGGGGAAGGGGTGCAATGTTAAGTTCATAGTCCCATGTGGGCTCTGATGCTAACTCTCACACCAAACTTTTTACTGAAGACTCTTACAGCAGGGAGTGGACAGGGATAGCCACATGCTATCAAGAGATACTGTTGCTTTTCCCAGAGTGGGGTGATTTGACTGGTTGCAGGCTGATTAAATTACATGAAGGTATTTAACTCCAGAGCAATTCAGTGATGAGAGATCCCCAAATGATTTCCCATATCAACCTACCAAGCCAAATGATAGTGTTACCCTTCCCTAATTCTCTATAGTGTAGAATAAAAGTACAGTTGCTTGAAGTCATTGTGAGACGTTAACACCTATGGAAATGCAGGAGACACAAGCTTCAGCAGGGAAAAGGGCACGTGAAGCAACCCATCAGTGCCTGCCCACAATAAAACATCAGTGCTTGATGGCCTTGATGTTTTATTAGAGCTTTTGAACTACAAGTCCAGTTGGTTCATTGACCATTTTTGTATTTTGGTTTTAGAGATCCAAACACAATGTGCTATACATACCATACATAATGTTCCTAGACAGCAGGGGGAATACCACAAGCAGGAAAGTCTATTGTAGTTTTGTATCGGGTGCATATATGTTGTACTTTTTAGTACCCATTCGAAATGGTTGACGTGTACAATGAGTAGACAGTATTGTAACTTGTATTTTTTTGTGGACTATGCAATCTGTCATGTGACCTCAGAGGAGAAAAATAAAACAGTCCCGACTCTATCGGTAGCTGTTTTGTAGAGAAATCGAAGCCTTTGTGCAATAACGACTCGGCAGAATACTTTCAGTTACAAAGCTTCTATTCGGTGTTATGCGAGTACAGTTGCTGTTCTCGGTGTGACAGTGAGTTTATTTTTCAGTGCTGAAGATTCAGCCGTTTGATAAACCTGTATATTATCTTGTAAATTTAATGTTGAAAAAGTAGCGTTGTTCTTATAGAAACGTGTTCATTCGACGGGTTTGCTTATAGCACTTTAACTTATTTTTTTTTGTTTTGGGAACCAAATACAAGCCGAATGGAATGGCTTATGTAATCTTCAGATGTAGGCAGCAACTGTTCATCTGCCGCATTCTTCTCATTGGGATTTCCAGAGGGATTCTGGGAGTTGTATGTCTGAGCTAGATCTGTGTTCCCCAATGCTGGTCCTCCGAGACCGCTAACAAGGGTAAGGTTGTCAAAGTTGGGCAAATCTTGTAATTGCCACCAGATATTTTTTGTATTGTTGCGTTTTGTTTGTGGTCAGTATAAGGAACCAAAAAAATGCTGAAATAGATTTCAAGATGGACAATCACTTTAACTAACCCCAGGCTCAAAGACTTGTCTTTTGTTTTTTACCAGAGATGCTCCAAGAGAAGAGGTGAATTACAAGAATAGGGGTAACAAAACTGATGCATGTGTGGAGCCATTGCAAGTCTGGTCTTTTTAATCAGACTGGAAAACTGCTCCCTTTGAAGGAGCAAATATACACCTAAAGATGTTAAACACACACAGGGGATGTTTTATAAATCATCTGCCTAGCCATACACTGGGCTAATGCCATTCGCATTGCATTCCTGCCAGAAGATGGTATATAAGAATTTCCTTTGCTACTCGGCTCCATCTAGTAGCAGCAAAGCCAAGCGAAAGGCATTCACCTAAGGTATGGCTGAGCAGATGATTTAGAAGTCATCTCCATATTGTCATGTCTATAAAAGACTCGGAGACACTTTCAAAACATGTTCAACTACATGCATTTTTAAACACAGAGGTTTAATCGGGTCCCCTATGTTAAGAGCTGCTTTACTTGCAATAGAAATGTAAAAGGGGCCTTACACTAGCCATACACTCACAGCTTACTCTTATTTGGCCTGCGAGATGAACGGAAAAATCTAATAGATTTCCCCATCCATTCTAAGCAGTGTGGAGGGAGGAATCTCCCCTGGTGAATTTCATATTCAGACAGCTGTCACCCATGACTGACTATTGAACAATTTTTCAGTCAAAGTTTGTCAAGCCAGGTGGTTCTGACAGAGCCATCCATGGCCCGAATTTCAGCCAATTCAGCAGGAATCAGACAAAATTGGAGCTGTGCATGTCCAGCCATAGTCATGCCAGCCTAGGGTAGATGCAACAGTAATTGATATGTGTGGATCAATTACTTTGTGGAGTAACGATGCATTCTCAGATGGCAATGTGTTGTCGGCTGGTGTCAGATTTGTTTTATTTTAGCTCAGAAAATAAATGCTTTGGTTCGGAAGATCTATGACCTGAAGTTGTTTGTGCAAACCTGAACTAATGTCAAATAGGAGCCTCCAGCCCCATATCCGACAATTGACACATTATGCAGTTTTTAGGAGGCAGTGCATGTGAGGTGTGTGGTCCGGTCACATGTAGGTGAACAGGCTCCTTTCCATGCGACAAGACCACAAAGCTTACCCTAGACATTTTTAGCATTCGGGTGGATCTGGCTAGTGTGAGAAACATTCTGCTAAGAGGCATCTAGCGGCTTTCTGTGTTTAATCTGTCCGCATACCCAGCTCATGACATGCCTGCAGATTTCGCTATGACCAATGTTACAGCGTATGTTGCTGGCCAAAGGCTCCAGTTGGATAGTAAAAGCAACCTGTCTGACCGGCCCTTAAGTGCACGTATTTCAGTTCTGTTTGCATTAATGCACATTCAATATTGGGTATGTCTTTATATTTAATACATTTGCTTCAATACTGTATAGAAATCTAACACACACGCACTCTACTTATCTGGGGACACATGAGCAGAGCTTTTGTTTTTCTACTGTGATCTGAAAACTGCTTGCTCTTTAAGAATTGCTTAGGCCAATGGTCTTAGCTATGGTCCTCAAAGCCCAACAAGGATACAGTGTACACAGGTATTTGTGATGCGTTTTACCATACATGTTCCATGCACCATGCATCCACATAGATGTGCATGGAAGACTAAAAGCTAAGCACAAACTGATCCTAAATGGACTCAAACTGATCTCATAAACTTGTGTACATTGTCCCCAACAATGTATGTTTTCTCCACTGCCAGCGTAAGGTTCACTTGACATCTCTGCTGTCCCTAATGAACATTTACTACCTCGCTGGGCAAAAAAATAACCTAAACGCAGAAGCTCACTCGCTAGTAAGGGAGCAGGCATGGAGGGAAGTCTCACTGGCCTGTCAAACAAGGGAGTGACACCATAGGAGAAGGTGAGCTAGAGAATGTTATTGGCGTGTTCTCCAGCGACAGAATTGCTGACAAGAGGACAGCATCAATTATGTCACCTGTCAGTCCATAACAAGATCTGAAGCACAATTTAAAGGGCCTTGAGGGCTTCAAACATGGCTAGGTGACAAATACACGTCAGGCTGAAGAGTGTCTAATGAGCACTGATGTCTCTGTTCTCCTCATGTGATTAATGCTACTATTTGAGTTTATAGTTGCATGTTCTTTAACCTGTGCCTATTCAATTTTCAAAAGTGTGGTTTGCATAAGTTGGGCATCTGGCAAAAACAGCCTGAGGCCCATATTGAAAAGCCTTGAGGACTGGCATTGGGAAACTATAAGTTACATGTAGCAGAGTCTCTGAAGTAAGACTTTTGGTACCATGAGGCAATGTAAAGCTGGCCATACACCTTACAATTATCTGCAGATTTTCTGTGGTCAGATGGAAAAGGTGCAACAGATTCCTCTATTTACACTTAACTGTGTGTGTGGAGTAATCTCCACCTGGGCCAATCTGTTGCACTTTTTCCATCTGACTACAGAAAATCTGCAGATAAATTGTAAGTTGTATGGGCACCTTTAGGCTCCTGTCACATGGGCTGATCAGGAGCAGATCCGTGTCCGTACAGTTTTTTTCCCTCTAACTTGTGATGGAGGAAAAAAACTACAATTACCAGACCTAATGTCGGTCTATGGGGAATCTGATTTAAACCGACGTGTCCATGTACCTCAGATTACCCCTGGTCTGGCACAATCCGGTCCGGCGAAACTGATCTCTGATCCGTTTGTTTTGCCGGGGTAACCGGGTGTAAATGGACGCCTGTCCGTTTACAAACGGCTGTCCATGGACTTGCATTGGGCATCCAATCGGGTCTGTCTGGAAAACTAACAGACAGACCCAATCGGAGCAGCCATGGGAAACGGGGCCTTGAAAAGCTTGTCTCGGGTGGTACCATCTAGGCTTGGCTTGAGTAAACATGCTTCTTTGCTGCTATCTGCGTCAGTGGGCACACTGGAAACCTTGCCTCCTAACAGTGCTTCCTGTGTATATGTTGCACTGGGCTTTGTGAGCGGTGTGTCTAAGCTGCACAGAGTTGGCACTTGTTTGTTGCCCCTGGTGGCACTATGTAGCAGAACACTCCTAGCTGGGCAACCAATCCAAACTCTGTTTAAGGAATCGGGTATCTAAAAGCAAGAATCTGACCAGTGTTTCTTTCATATTAACTTTAATAGATGAGGTCTGTTGAGCTGGATGGTGCTTGCCTAGATCTGGGTTAGATTTATAGCATCTGAAAAGCTTTAAGTTATCTCAGAATAATAATAATAAAAAAAATCCTCCAAAAAAAAGAAGCTGATGCTTTGGAAACAAAGGGAAGACATCTTATCTTATCTGTACCGTGCTAATGCTGAAAGTGAATAGACATACAGGGCATAACCTTTCTCTGTGTACATAGCGCTATATTCCTGCTAGATCTGGTATGTAGAATAAATGTAAATATATTGGCCTCTCTCCCCTCTGGTCTTCCACAGCACTATTATTGTCTTTGTGGATTTAAGACTATTACTAATCCTGTAATGGATTTTAAGTACTATAAGGTCATAGTGATATGATTATAAATATATGTATAAATATATATATATATAGACAATAAATACATGTACAATATTGCCAGAGGTTTTGAATTTTTTATTGTGTGTTTTACATAATATATTGATGTCATTCCTTGCTGACTGTTCTCGTAGTGCAGACAAAAATACATCTCTTTATCCATAGTTTTGGGGTATGTTGGCCAATCGCGGAGAATTAAAAACAATTGGGGGAAATTCCATTAATTGCACAACAGAAATGGGTACATGCACAGCTAATATGCAGCGTAACATACTACAGGCCGAATAAAATAAATGGTATCATAGTGTGAAATGCTTGTATTGTATCAAGCCTATTGTACATGTATACACTATACTGTATATGTACTTCGTGCTGCCAGTCAGTTTAGGACATGCTATAAATGAAGAGTGGAAATCTTTAGCAGATGAATCTATATACAGAGATGGTAAAGCAGCTGCAGCAATGATGGCCTGACATCCAAGAGGACCTTCCAATGACGTGAAAAGAAAACAGGTGATCGGCTGTGTGAAAGACAACACCAGGAAAAACTGCACTAATCCATTTTAACTCGTCCACAGAGCCAGAGATTGTTTATGCTGAAAACTAGACCAGAGGTGAAACTACAGAAACTGCATCTTAATTTCATGCAACAGTTTCCAACTTCTCAGACATTGGTGTCTTGGTTCAACTCTACGGCTGCCCATAAATGCACAGATATCAAACCGAGAACAATTGTTTAGGGAGG